CGCTGCATTAAGCGTTCATCAGCTAGAGGCACTTGATTGTTGGGAACAAAATGCTCGATGTGCATATGAACTTTTCGAGAAGGATGGAAACCGGGCAATTTTCATTGAAGAACTTGCTCCAGTAAGTTGAAATTTTATTGTCACATGTTGCAGTCTGGCTATATATTAAGTTAAAGACTTTGATAATCACAGGTTGATTTCTGAGCATTCAACATGTTACTTACTAATTGGAGTTAATTTACATCTCTAACCAATTTCTATGTTCCTTGTTACACTGGTAAATAATAGTAATCATAATATTTGAACTAGTTACTGTGACTACTGTTATGTATGTTCCTTGTAGTAAATAATAATTATGTTTGAGCTTATTATTTACATTGGTTAAGGTACTATGTTTGACTTAAGAGTGTTTGCTGGCGGTTATATTTCGAATTATTTGAAGGCCGGAGGCCGATTATGTGAATTGCATGAAATTATCTTGTGCATGTTGCCGGTTTGGGGATATTAAATGTGTTTTATGCATGTTGAAATTTTGGGAAATGTTCAAATTATAGGGGAGATTATGCCGAAATTTCGGTAGAAAGTCTCATGCCCTTATTTCTTTTTGGGAAAGAGGATATAGTTTCAGAAGTGGGCCTGACATCGAGGTTATGTCGGGAATTCCACAGGATTCGTCTCGGGTTCCGAGGAATTTGGGGCGGGTCCTGTCACATATGCGCTTTTATTATAAATATAAAAAATTGAAATTTTTATAAGAAATGCTCATGAGGAAACACATAGAAGTCCACAAGCATACTAATAACATATAAAGGAACACAAGGACTATCCATCAATATAATAACATATAAACGAAATTCATAAATTCAAATAACACATAAGTATATTACATCCATGATCTCAACTAACACAAAGACTATCTATAACATATAAAACAAAATCATAAACTCAAATAACATATAAAAGATATTCATAATCTCAACTAAAGAAAAACCACAATCTCTAGTATTCCTAAAGACTAGCTAACCAAGCTCTCCTTCTAGCATCCGACATTGTAACAAATATTTTCCTCCATTCAACAAGCACAATTTTTTCTAGCATCTTGTTAAATGTGTAATTTTCAATATCCCCAATTTCTTCAACAAGTCCGATGCATTCTTCAATATAATACATCTCATTGGAGGTGCTGCTAGATACTTCAAGACTCTTTTCCTTTTGAATTGTTTGTAATCTTTAACTTCACTGCAAACCTCCAAATAAGATTCCATTTTATCTTTTTCTTTGGATGATGTTCGGTTAGGGTAGCAGTTACACACTTTCTTTTTCTTTTACCATGATCAATTTCCAGGTTAACACCATCATCATCCAAGTCAACATCAATGTGAACACTGATGTTAAGGAAGTTGTTCTCTAACTCACGGTCCTTATTTGAGTTAGGAAGAAGTTGATTAGAGGCATAACGCAACTGACCGGTTGCAGTAGTGGTGTTGAATATCTCCCCTAAAAGTTGATAGTGCACTAAACCTTGAGTGCGATATTGCTTTCGCTCTTGGCTTACTTACAAACCATGAAAATTATTATACTAAACATCACAAGCAATTCACTGAACTATGTGAAGTGAAGTGAAAAAAAAAACCATTAGATGCTCCTCGCTTACTTCGGACCAAACTTTCTGTTTAAAGGTTGATGCTTGCAAGTCACCCTTCTTCACATGATCATACAATAAATGTATAAAAAGCTCTTCATGTTTGGAAGGCCATTAGACTTTTTTCCTCACCATCAACATTCTTAGGGGCCATATCATCATCACTAGTATAAAACGTAGCACATATCATCATCACTAGTATAAAAAAAGACAAACTCAATATGTGAAACACGTTTTTCACCTCCACAAACATATATTTTACCACATGGTCGCTCTCTTGTTCACGCGAAGAGAGCCTTGATGACTAGTTTTAGGGTTTCTCTAGTTTTTTTTACTCATTCTCTGCGCCGTCTCTCTCAGTCTTCTCTGTTTGTCTCTCTGAATTCTTGGTGTATTGGGTACGACATTTATTATTTACTCTTTTGTTCTCCGTGGGGTAGCTGCGCCTTATTCCTTTCTGGGTTCCCAAGGAGGCAGTCACTGGTGAAGGGTCTCCATCTTAAAGCTATGAAGGTGACCACCATCTTTTTTGCTCAAGGGGATGACAAGTATGCGGCACCAAACGGGAATCAGAAGCCTGTGGAAATTGGGTGTTAGGCATCTGATTGTTAGTGACATGTTTTTTTCTGGTAAGCGTAGCTTTTGTATCCAGGATTTTGTTGACAAGGCGGATGAGACCAGCCTTAAGGGGTCTCCAAGGTCTCCCTAATCATTCTCTTATGGAACATTCGTGGGCTTGACAACTGATGAACGTTCCTACTATGAAGATCTTTCTTCGGAAATTTCTTCAGGCTAAGAGGCCGATCTTGGTCTCCCTTGCTTGTCAACTAGGTTCTGGATCAAGAAAATTGGAGGTGTCAGTTGGTTTTTGGCTGGATATGTTATTATGCTCACAATGCGTTTTTGACTCTGTACGAAGAACTATGATGTTTTCTTTAGATCATAGGAGGCTTTCTTTGACAGTACATGCGTAGTGATGGGATGTGTTTCAATGGTTTTGCGATTAGGTAATTGGTTGGATCTATTCTGATACCCATAGTACGTTTTTGACTCTGTACAAATAATTAGGATGTTTCTCTAGATCATATGAGGACTTCTTTGACAGTACCTACGTAGTGATGGAATGTTATTTTAAGGGTTTTGTGGTTAGGTTTTAGGTTTGTCTGTTTCGTATAAGTTGTTTGACTCTTCTGTCTAGTCAATAGAATGGGTGGTACTCTTTCCTACCTCGGAATTTTGTTTTCTCTGGGAAGGTTTTAACAAGGTCACCGTTAATATGCTAGTTCTTACCATATAATGTTCCTTTCGGTTTAATGAGATACAATATTTTCTCAACAAAAAAACACATATTTTACCACTTCCTTTAGAAGCCATGTTACTTTTTGCTTCTTTTTTTCGGTGCATATAAATCTTTTTTTTTTTGTTTTTTTCTTTCTGTGAACATAGCACCTATTGAACTATAACTCGACTAGATTGCAAATTTACCCCAAATCCTCTAGTAGTAGTAAATTACGACCTTAATTAAAGAAATCATCAAGTGCAGACTAATAACATAAAAAAGAACACAAGGACTATCCATCAATATAATAACATATCGAAACTTAGTACCCGATCTCAAAGGAATTATTGCCATTAATATTTTCAGTTTTAGACAAAAAGAAAAAACAAAAAAAAGATAGCCTTTCTTCTCGAAATTAGCTTAAGTGATTTGCATTTGGAAAATTGAAATGATCAAGTTCCTTGTCTTTTTAATAGGGCTTCCTTATTGGTTGTGTTTGATCATGAAAGGGGAGGAAATGGTATTTTTGCATGTACTTAGTAGGTGCTTTCTTTGCTATGTGTTAAAGTAGAAAGAGCCACTTAGAACTATTCCAGTTAACTTTGCTACGAGGGAACCGGCAGCTACCTGGAAGTTCAATGGAAGTTTATGTAGATTTTTCTCATTATTTGATGTTTTCTTGATATTGCAATTTTTCTTTGGTTCAAGTCCAACGGTGATTGTTTGGGGGAAGAAATGAAAACAAAAGACAATGACGAGGAAAAGGGTTATATGATATATACTTTTAAGAGTCTGAATGAATAATTAATGAGTGGTTTCTAGAAATACAACTTGGAAATTTCTAACTCCCCCAAATGGCCCCTTTTTTAGGAGAAATTATACAATACTACCGTAGTACCAGCTGGCGTTGTTGATTGGTACTACGGTCCAACAAGATTCAGCCATGTGTACAGCTTAGACATGCAACAGAATCATAAAGTTTTGCCGTTAATGCCGACGTTAAAAAAAAAAATTGAACGCTCTGTGATGGGGATGCCCACCCAAAGGCTTGATTGAAGTCCTCCCAATGCTGGCTTTTAGACCATGATAGCGTCAATATTTCAGATCTAAGATTAGATCAACAAATTTCTATGCAATAATATTCTTTGACCAATTGTTGTGCAACAAAATTATTTGACATTGGGTCATTACCCAAAATGGCAAAAGCTTTGATGGACTTTTGTTTTCAATGTCAATTTCATCTTATAGCGTGTCGAGAACACTTAACATGGACCAGTTCTTGATGTTTATTTTTTGAACATGGACCATTTCAATTTCTTTGGGCTTTTGTTTTCAATGTTAATTTCATCTTCCAGCGTGTCAAGAACACCTAACATGGACCATTTCTTGATATTTATTTTTTGAACATGGACCATTTCAATTTCTTTGGGCTTTTGTTTTCAATGTCAATTTCATCTTGCAGCGTGTCGAGAAAGTTGATTAAAAAGAGTTTTATTACTCTACTTTCCTTATTAAAAAGAATTTCATCTTGCAGCGTGTCAAATTTTCATGATTTTCTATGAAGATCATTGCTTTACTTTCCCACTTTGGAAATATTCACAGCAGATACTTGCATTGCATGGATTTGTTTATTCTTTTTTTTATCTCTCTCCTTTTTTCAAAGAAATAGCTTTTATATAATTTTAGTTTCTTAATAATTTTATTGGTCATCCACATGTTTTGGTTCATTATTATCCGCTCAACAAAATATACGGCAAATTGATATGGATATTAACATCAAACGGAATAAACCGTTATGCTTTTGTCAAACGTCAAAGCAAGGTGCGTTGGCTTTGTACGTAAAGGTTTATGCCTTTCTTAACGTCACATTGTTAGTAACGTCGCACATTAAAGACAACGTATGGAATATGGCTGCCCGTCGATGAAGTGTCAAATGGTTTGATGAAGCCAACAACTTCTTTTCTAGAATAGTTTGAAGATTGATTAATATCTCAATTACTTTGAAGATTGATTAATATGTTTTTTTTTCCCCTTAGACTAGATATCTTAAAATGGACTGTAGAGGTGAAGTATTAAAACATGGCAATCCTTGGTCTTCATTACACTCTTCATAATTCTGACTTCTTCATTATAGTTGCCACATACATTACCATTATTCCTTGCATTGCAGATTTTCACGTTCTTGTTGTTGGTTGCATTGCGATGTCTCTAAGCAGGCTATCAACTTTCCGTCTTCAATCCTTGATAAACTGCTCTGTTGTTCTCTTCATGTTCTTCAATTTTTTCCAACCCTTTGTTCATCCACTTTCCTTCAGCATCAATGACTTTAGTCGAGATGCAAACAACATACTTTATGAAGGTGATGCCGCGCCTTCTTCAGGAGTGATTGAACTCAGCACGATCACAGCCACAGATCCACAGGATATATATTGCCGCACTGGCCGGGCTACGTATGCAGAACCTTTGCACTTATGGGACTCTGCTAAACTGGCAGACTTCACTACTAATTTCTCTTTCATTATCGACACTGTTCATAATCATACCAACATTGGTGATGGACTTGTGTTTTTCCTTGCCCCTGTTCACTATCCAATTCCACTAAACTCTGCTGGTGGTGATCTAGGATTATTAAACACCACCAATCGTTTACTAAACCAAATTGTAATGGTTGAGTTTGACACTTTGCCAAACTCATGGGATCCACTCTGGCCACACGTTGGGATCAATATCAATACCATCCGCTCAGTTGTTAATGCCCGTTGGGATGCTCTCGGCAACGGTGGGAAGAAGGCTCACGTACAGATAACTTACAGTGCTACCACCAAGACCCTCACTGTGTTTTGGAAATATGAGGAAGATACTGATGTGGCCATCACTTCGCTTTCTCACCCTATTGACCTGAGAAAGGTTCTCCCAGAGTGGGTTACAATTGGATTTTCAACTGCCAATGGCTGTGAGGCCCGAGAGCGGAATGCTATATATACATGGGATTTCAGATCAAACTCAAAGGAGTTAAGTACCAAAAAGGAGAGGAGGTTATTCTCGATTGGGGCCGTTGCAGTTTCTGTCTTCATTTTGATTCCTGGTGTAGCCATATGCTGGTTGGTGGTAAAGAGGCGGAAAAACAGGATTGATGAACATGGAAATGACTCCAATTCAGTAGCCTCTACAGATCTTGTGTGGCAAGCCTTGCCAAGACGATTTTCTTATGAGGAATTAGTTGCAGCCACCAATGACTTTGCAAACGACAGAAGGCTAGGCCAAGGAGGGTCAGGGAAAGTTTATAAAGGAATCATACAACATCTAGGCTGCACAGTTGCTGTGAAGAGAATCGTCCCAGAATCCGAGCACTATGAGAAAGTCTTCATCAACGAAGTGAAAATAATAAGCCGCTTGATACACAGGAACCTGGTGCAATTCATTGGATGGTGTCATGAGCAAGGCGAGTGCTTACTTGTTTATGCATACATGCCTAACGGCAGCCTTGACACGCATCTATTCGGCTCTAGAACAACCTTGCAATGGGATTTGAGGTACAAGATAGCTTTAGACTTGGCCACAGCCGTTCATTACCTGCATGAAGATGCAGAGACGTGTGTCCTGCATAGGGATATCAAATCAGCTAACATATTGTTGGACTACGATTTCAAGACTAAGCTTGGTGATTTTGGGATTGCTAAGCTCGTGGATCCGCGGTTCAGGACTCAGACAACAGGAGTAGTAGGGACTTTTGGTTACATAGCCCCGGAATATGCAAATAGAGGTAGGGCTAGTAAAGAGTCAGACATGTATAGTTTTGGAGTTGTGGCCTTGGAACTTGCATGTGGAAGGAGGACTTATCAGGATAAAGAATTCCACGTGCCGCTTTTCAGGTGGGTTTGGCAGCTGTACCTTGCCGGAAATCTGCTCTCTGCAGCTGATGAGAGATTGGATATGAATTTTGTTCCAAATGAAATGGAATGCTTGTTAATTGTGGGATTATGGTGTACTCATCCCAACAACAAGGAAAGACCAAAAGCAGGGCAAGTGATGAGGGTTCTTCAGCTTGAAGCACCATTGCCTCAACTTCCAAAAGACTTGCATGATCATCCGCCACCTCAACCTCAACAAGAAGCTGGTTCCTCTCTGCAATCATTAACTTCTAGTTTCCAAACTGTGGGTCGTTAAAGTAGTATATACCAAACAACTTCAAGGGCAAATAGATGAAGTTAAATGTAGGGATGTTCATTTCAGTGTTAATTCTTCTTATTTAGGAAGGGGGGAAATATGTGTGTGGCTGAGGGTGTTATCTGGATTTGGTGGACATCAGTTTACACCACTTATAACATTTTCTATTCTAAAATTTTGTGTATCTTTCTTAACTGATTGCTTGACCCGCTAGATGATATGCATGATCACCCGACAGACAAAAACTGATTAGTTCAAACAATTTGTCATGATGAAGCAAATCACTCCAGCTTGCGGCTAAAAGTCAATGTAGAAATTTGGCTTACGGTTTTGAACTTTGAACAGCATTTCCCTTATTCAAAATTGGTCATATCGTGAATTCAGTTTCTTAAAACAAAAATGAAAAAAATATATAAAAGAATGTTAAGAGGATGTGAAGGAATGCCGATGACATTAACAGGAGAAAGACTTCTATGTAACGAGGATAAAACTATTTTGCTATCTTCTACCAATTACGTCATGATACGTGTGACAACACTAACACATGACAGAGCATTATTTGTCAGGGATAACAAAACAGTGCTATTCCCGTTGCAACTAAGTTTTTCTTCATTAACAGAGAGTCTTACTTATGCTTTGCGCTTTGGAATATTTTAATTTCCCTATCAAGTGGGCTTAAATTTTTGTTATAGCCCAATTGCAAATATAGACCTGTTGGGTGAGGCCCAGTTTTGTTTTTCATTTTTTCACCGTCCGGCTTCAACATTTGAGAAGCGTAACGAGGGAGGAAGAAAGGGTTCTGGTTCTAGACCAGATGAACGACGCCTCAGCCTCCGACTTTAGTGATGATACTGAGCTCCACGCGGCACGTTCGCTTTCTGTTATAAACGCAGCATTTGATTTGGCAGAAAACCCCAAGAAAGCAAACTGGTAGCAGCGTTCGAAAAATCGGCCTAGGCTGGAAGAATTGCCGCAATTTAACCCTAATTGTTAGGGGGAGGCGGCAGGAAGTTAGGCTGCGCCTGGGCGGGTCGGGTCCTTTAAATATATATATTTTTTTTTCCAGAGCTCAGACCCTTAGGCATTGGTAACAAAAGCTTACGACTTTCACAGTTTGTACAAATTTCTCATTGAAATTATTGCCATTAATATTTTTCAGTTTTAGACAGGCTACTGTTTTACCAAAAAAAAATAATGATGGTCTTTCTTCTCGTGATTTGCATTTGGAAAATGGAAATGATCAAGTTTTATTTAATTCGCTTTGCAGTTTAATAATCCATTAGGAAGATACTTGGCTAATCTCTTTGGTAAACCTTATTTTTGATATGGTATTTAATGAAATGACGTTGAATTTGAAAATCAAGATGTGCTCAAATTTGTTTGTATATTCCACTGCTATTGCTGAAAATTATTCAAACATGTAGTTGAGTTGAGTAGGTGTTTGATTACACAGAAAGAAATAAACAAAAACACTTTGGCTACCTCCTTCATTCTACCCTTGTTTACAATTCCATTTTACAAAATCCCATTCATTCCATTTTATTCACACTGCACGAAAACATTCATCCGTCAATGGAGTGTCAAATGGTTTGATGAAACCAACTACTTATTTCCTAAATTTGTAACATCCCGACCCTAAAATGAAAGAATTAAATTTAAAACATAATAAATAAATTAAAATAAGTAAATTAAATAAACTAATATGAATTAATTAATAATAATTATTGAAATTTAATAATTAATATTATTTAAAGGGCAAAATGGTTAATTTAATTTCGGGAAAGAATTTGGCTAAACGAGTTGCACCATTAATTGCATCTGGCTCGTCGAAACGAGTCCGTAGACGGGAGGCACGCTCGATTTGGAAAATTAACGAATAAAAAGGACATAATGGTAATTATGAAAATTTATTAAAAAATTATTTAAAACCCAAAAATTACCCCAAAACCCCGAGGAGTGCGCGAGTGCACAGTGGCACTCGCCTTCTCTCTCTCCCAAACCCGATCTCCCCTATTCCACTGGACAAAAGATGAGAACTGTATGACATGGTTGAAGAATTCTCTACCAGTGATGAAGTTGAGCATTCTTGTCCATCCTGCCATCAAAATCCGTTGCATTCAGGTTTCCGAGTGCACTTCCCATTATGTCTTAACGAGTCCTTAACCCATAAGCTCAAACACACGAAATCGTATTGACAAGGCAACAAGATAATGAAATATAAGAGAAATGGAAAAAATAAAAGCCTATGATTTTGTTCAATTGAGAAGATGCTAGATACCTTGTGAGAAACACAGTTTTTGAGAATTGCATACACAAACTGTGAAAACCAATCTGGGAGACTAGGCACTGTTCTCAAAATCCAAGAAAGAAACTTCCCCACAGGAAGTTCAACTTCCAAACCCGAGAGCTGGCAATCCCACACATTCAAGCCACTGCCAACTTCAGGGCATGAAACAATAGCCGACGAAACAATCTGATTAATATCCGGCGGAGGTAAATCTGTTTTCTCTTTGGAAATTTTCGAAGTCCTAGAATTCCAGGAAATAGCCCAACACATCCAAGGAAGCATAAGCACGTCCACGGGCTTAAGCGACCCGGTTATCTTACTGTCAACACCATCAGATTTAAAATCCAAGTTCGAAGGCGAACCCGCTTTTTGAAGTGCCACAGCAAACACTCTGAGCAATATATTAAGCGACACAGAGTTTGTTGAAATAATAGACTATAATCTGATTTAGATTTGGATTTTTGATATAGGGAGCTCAAGAGTTAGAAAGGAAAATGAAGAACACAGAGATAGATTTGAGAGGAAAACGATAGCACCCAAAATGTGAGTCTGTAATCTCACTCTTGCATGTCATTGCATTCACGCACATTACATGCTTGATATAAAACCGTTAGGAGTAAGAATATTCCTTTACATCAGCACAATCACACCATCCATCCTTCTATCCTATGAGATAGAGACACATGGCAGAAACACTCACTTAAAACCTTAGCCGTCCATTGGACTATAATCCAATGGCTCATGGTTAATTACACAGCTAAGCATGCTTAATGAACCTAAACGATTATTACAGCTAAATACACTTATATTTCAACACTCCCTTCTAAGTGTTTAGCTGAAATGACACCAAGCTTCTTTCTCAAATACTCGAACCGATCTCTGGCTAGAGCTTGGTAAATATATCTACAGTCTGCTCTTCTATCTTGCAATACAATAGATCAATATCTCCATTTTGTAAAGCATCACGGATAAAATGGAACCGTCTGTTTATGTGTCTGGTTTTGTGGTGGTGTACCAGATTCTTTGTTATGGCTATAGCTGTGGTATTATCACATAGAATTGATGTTGAACTGATTTGTTCTTCACCAAAATCTGAGAGAACAAACCTCAACCACATTGCTTGTGCAGTTGCTTCAGCTGCACTCACGTATTCAGCTTCTGCAGTGGAGAGAGCTACACTGCTTTGCTTGACTGATGCCCAAGAAAAGACACCAGATCCAAGATGGAACGCATATCCAGAAGTGCTCTTCATATCATCCTCACTTCCTGACCAATCGCTATCACAATAACCAATTAGCACAGCTTCCTTTCCTCTTTCATAGGCTATGCCATAATCAAGTGTACCTTGTATGTACCTAAGCACTCTCTTAGTAGTTCCCATGTGTTTTCTGGTAGGACCATGCATAAATCTGGCTAAGAGACTAGCAACAAACATAATATCAGGCCTTGTTGCAGTCAGATACAACAAACTCCCTACTACCTGCCTGTATAAACTTTCATCAGCTTGTTCACTACCATCCTGCTTAGACAATTTCTCATTCACTGCAAGAGGAGTAGCAATTGACTTGCAATCCTTGAAGCCAAACATATCCAAGAGAGTCTTTGCATATTTCTTCTGATGCAAGAAAATATAGGTTTCAGTTTGTATCACTCCTAACCCTAGAAAATGATGTAACAGACCAAGGTCTGTCATTTCATATTGCTTCATCATTTCAGTCTTGAAATCCAACAACAATTCTCTAGAACTTCTAGTATAGATGATATCATCTACATAGAGCGAAACAATAAGAATTCCACTCTCTGCAAACTTCACATATAGAGTTGCCTCACTAAGACTCGTCTTGAAACCAGCCTTCTCAAAATAAGAGTTGATCTCTTCATACCAAGCCCTTGGAGCTTGTTTAAGACCATACAAAGCCTTCTTCAATCTATAAACTCCATCTTCCCTATTTTTAATCACAAAACCAAGTGGTTGATCAACATAAACCTCTTCATGTAGCACTCCATTCAGAAATGCCGATTTAACATCCAACTGAAATAGCTTCCATCCTTTATGTGCAGCCAAAGCTACTAAAATTCGAATTGTATCAAGCCTTGCCACAGGTGAAAAAGTCTCATTGAAGTCTATCCCAGGCTTTTAAGAGTAACCTTTTGCCACAAGCCTTGCTTTATTCTTCTGAACAGAACCATCCAGGTTTAACTTGGTTTTATACACCCATTTAACTCCACTAACTGGTTTATCAGATGGTCTATCAACCAAGTCCCAAGTGTCATTCTTCTCTATCATGTTAATCTCATTTTCCATTGCTTTCTGCCAAGAATCATCTTTGACAGCTTCTTCAAATGACTCAGGCTCAATGATGCACACATTGCATCTTTCATAGACTTTAGCTATACTTTTAAATTTTCTAGGAGTATGGTCAAAATCCTGAGGACCTGTGACAACTTCAGTGTGTTCTGCTTCACTGTCTTCAGACATTTCTGCTTGAGCTCCATGTGACTCATCAATCTCTTTTCCATTCTAAGCAACAACATCAGTAAGTGGAATTGAAATGCTGCACTCTTTTTGTGCATTCCAATCCCAACTACCTTCCTCATTAAAGATAACATCTCTAGAAAAGATCACCTTGCCTGATTCAAGATTATATAACCTGTAACCTTTTTCACAACTGCCATAACCAAGAAACACACACCTGGTGCTAGTTTGGTCAAGCTTTTGTCTCTGCTACTCTGGAATTTGAGCATAACTCAAGGAACCAAACACTCTTAGATGCTTAATTCCTGGTTTGTCTATGTTCCTTGTTACACTGGTAAATAATAAGTAATCATAATATTTGAACTAGTTACTGTGACTACTGTTATGTATGTTCCTTGTAGAAAACTAAGACTAGTGTTATTTATGCTCTCTTCAAAATGTGTTTCAAGAACTTCGACTTGGTCCCTCAATCCCAATCCCGCTTCATGTGGTTCTCCATGATTGGATTTGGCACACTGATGGGAAGATCACTGCAGGTGCAAGCTTCGTTACCAGTTTGAATGTTGTGTTCTTGATATTTTGTGCGTAAAGGTGTAGTTAGTTTGCCTAAATAGGAAATTACTAATTCTTCCACTCCTTATAGATGCATTGTACTCGTTAGATTATCCTCGTCTGCTCCAACTTCTCTCTAGTTGCTGTGAAACATGCTTGAATAATTGCCTCAGTACTGTAAAACTCCTCTGTTACTTCAATTCAATTGAAAACCAATTACTTTTCAAAGTGATGCAGCTACTGATGAATACATGTACTAGATCACGTCTCTTACATATGTGGATTCCATTCTAGTACTTGTTCATGAGAGATGTAGTGAGAAGTGTGGTCACTAAAAATATGGTGTAAATAATCTCACTATCAGTGTTATTCCAAAGCCTCCTATTTAGTTTAACCCATAATCTTTGGGCTCATTTGGGACTGCTTCTTTAGAAAGCACTTCAGCACTTAGCACATATGCAATTTTATTATAAATATAAAAAATTGAAATTTTTATAAGAAATGCTCCTAAGAAAACACATAGAAGTCCACAAGCATACTAATAACACATAAAAGAACACAAGGACTATCCATCAATATAATAACATATCAAAGAAATTCATAAATTCAAATAACACATAAGTAGTACATCCACGATCTCAACTAACACAAAGACTATCCATAACATATAAAAGAAATTCATAAACTCAAATAACATATAAAAGATATTCATAAGCTCAACTAAAGAAAAACCACAATCTCTAGTATTCCTAAAGACTAGCTAACCAAGCTCTCCTCCTAGCATCCGACATTGTAACAAATATTTTCCTCCATTCAACAAGCACAATTTTTTCTAGCATCTTGTTGAATGTGTCATTATCAATATCCCCAATTTCTTCAACAAGTCCGATGCATTCTTCAATATAATACATCTCATTGGAGGTGCTAGATGCTTCAAGACTCTTTTCCTTTTGAATTGTTTGTAATCTTTGGGTCATAACTTTACTGCAAACCTCCAAATAAGATTCCATTTTATCTCAGTTCTTTGGATGACGTTCGGTTGGGGCAGCAGTTACACACTTTCTTTTTCCTTTACCATGATCAATTTCCAGGTTAACACCATCATCATCCAAGTCAACATCAATGTGAACACTGATGTTAAGGAAGTTGTTCTCTAACTCACGATCTTTATTTGAGTTTGGAGGAAGTTGATTAGAGGCATAACGCAACTGACCGGTTGCAGTAGTGGTGTTGAATATCTCCCCTAAAAGCTGATAGTGCACTAAACCTTGAGTGCGATATTGCTTCGCTCTTGGCTTACTCTACAAACCATGAAAATTATTATACTCAAACATCACAAGCAATTCACTGAACTACGTGAAGTGAAAAAAAAACCACTAAAACAAAGACTTGGTATACCTTAATGTAACTAGCCTAAACATTTTCTGAGGCAGTGACTGTGTTAGCAATAAGATCCCACCCAAATCCATTGTGCTCAATTAGATCCGAGAACTCACGATGTGCAATTTACAACCTATTAAACTTAAACTTAAGTTGCTTAATAGTGCATTTTTTTCCACATTTTGCGAACAACTCCTCGCTTATTTTGGACCAAACTTTCTTTTAAAGGTTGATGCTTGCAAGTCACCCTTCTTCACATGATCATGCAATAAATGTATAAACTCTTCATGTTTGGAAGGTCATTGGACTTTTTCCTCACCATCAATATTCTTGGGGGGCCATATCATCATCACTAGTATAAAAACGCAGCACATATCATCATCACTAGTATAAAAAAAAGATGAACTCAATATGTGAAACACGTTTTTCACCTCCACAAACATATATTTTACCACACGGTCGCTCACTCGTTCACGCGAGGAGAGCCTTGATGGCTAGTTTTAGGGTTTCTCCAGTTTTCTTTACTCATTCTCTGTGCCGTCTCTCTCAGTCTTCTCTGATTGTCTCTTTGAATTCTTCTTGGTGTATTGGGTACGGCGTTTTGTTGTTGTTGCTCTTTTGTTCTTCGTGGGATAGCTGCGCCTTCTTCCTTTTTGGGTTCCCAAGGAGCCAGTCGCTAGTGAGGGGTCATCTTAAAGCTATGTAGGTGACCACCATCTCTTCTGCTCAAGGGGATGAAAAGTATGCGGCACCATGGGGGAATCAGAAGCCCGTGGAAATTGGTGTTAGGCATCTAATTGTTAGTGACATGTCTTTTTCTGGTAAGAGTAGTTTTTGTATCGACGATTTTGTTGACAAGGCGGAGGATACCAGCCTTAAAGGGGTCTCCAAGGTCTCCATAATCATTCTTTTATGGAACATTTGTGGGCTTGGCAACTGATGAACGTTCCTACTATGAAGATCTTTCTTCGGAAATTTCTTCAGGGAAATAGGCCAATCTTGGTCTCCCTTCCTTGTCAACTGGGGTTCTGGATCAAGAAAATTGGAAGTGTCAGGTGGTGTTTGGCTGGATATGTTATTATGCTCACAATGCGTTTTTGACTTTGTACGAAGAACTATGATGCTTTCTTTAGATCATAGGAGGCTTTCTTTGACAATACATGCGTAGTGATGGGATGTGTTTTAATGGTTTTCCGATTGGGTAATTGGTTTGATCTATTCTGATACCCATAGTACGTTTTTGACTCTGTACAAATAATTTGGATGCTTTCTCTAGATCATATGAGGACTTCTTTGACAGTACCTACGTAGTGATAAGATGTTATTTTAAGGGTTTTGTGGTTAGGTTTTAGGTTTGTCTGTTTCATATAAGTTGTTTGACTCTTCTGTTTAGTCAAAATAATGGGTGGTACTCTTTCCTACCTCGGGGTTTTGTTTTCTCTGGGAAGGTTTTAACAAAGGTCGCCGTTAACATGATAGTTCTTACCATGTAATAATGTTTCTTTCGGTTTAATGAGATACAATATTTTCTCAACGAAAAAACACATATTTTACCACTTCCTTTAGAAGCCATGTTACTTTTGCTTCTTATTTTAGTGCATATAAATATGTTTTTTGTTTGTTTTTTTAAATTCTGTGAACATAGCACCCATTGAACTATAACTCGACTAGATTGCAAATTTACCCCAAACCCTCTTGTAGTAGTAAATTACGACCTTAATTAAAGAAATCATCAAGTGCAGACTAATAACATATAAAAGAACACAAGGACTATCCATTAATATAGTAACATATTGAAACTTAGTACCCGATCTCAAAGGAATTATTGCCATTAATATTTTCAGTTTTAGACAAAAACAAAAAAACAAAAAAAAGATGGCCTTTCTTCTCGAAATTAGCTTAAGTGATTTGCATTTGGAAAATTGAAATGATCAAGTTCCTTGTCTTTTTAATAGGGCTTCCTTATTGGTTGTGTGTGATCATGAAAGGGGAGGAAAAGGTATTTTTGCTTGTACTTAGTAGGTGCTTTCTTTGCTATGTGTTAAAGTAGAAAGAGCCACTTAGAACTATTCCAGTTAACTTTGCTACGAGGGAACCGGCAGCTACCTGGAAGTTCAAAGGAAGTTTATGTAGATTTTTCTCATTATTTGAGGTTTTCTTGATATTGCAATTTTGCTTTGGTTCAAGTCCAACGGTTATTGTTTGGGGGAAGAAAGGAAAACAAAAGACAATGACGAGGAAAAGGGTTATATGATATATACTTTTAAGAGTCTGAATGAATAATTAATGAGTGGTTTATAGAAATACAACTTGGAAATTTCTAACTCCCCTAAATGGCCCCTTTTTTTGGAGAAATTATACAATACTACCGTAGTACCAGCTGGCGTTGTTGATTGGTACTACGGTCCAACAAGATTCAGTCATGTGTACAACTTAGGCATGCAACATAATCATAAAGTTTTGCCGTCAATGCCGACGTTAAAAAAACAAAATGAATGCTCTGTGATGGGGATGCCCACCCAAAGGCTTGAAGTCCTCCCAACGCTGGTTTTTAGACCATGATCGCGTCAATATTTCAGATCTAAGATTAGATCAACAAATTTCTATGCAATAATATTCTTTGACCAATTGTTGTGCAACAAAATTATTTGACATTGGGTCATTACCCAAAAAGGCAGAGGCTCTGATGGACTTTTGTTTTCCATGTCAATTTCATCTTACAGCGTGTCGAGAACACCTAATATGGACCATTTCTTGATGTTTATTAAATATACGGCAAATTGATATGGATATTAAAATCAAACGAAATAAACCGTTACGCTTTTGTCAAACGTCAGAGCAAGGTGCATTGGCTTTGTAAGTAAAGGTTTATGCCTGCCTTAACGTCACATTGTTAGTAACATCGCACATTAAAGACAGCGTATGGAATATGGCTGCCCATCAATGAAGTGTCAAATGGTTTGATGAAGCGTCAAATGGTTTGATGAAGCCAACAACTTATTTTCTCTTTAGCTTTTATTCATTACAATTTAATAAGTTCACACTACACGAAAACATTCATCCGTCAATGAAGTGTCAAATGGTTTGATGAAGCCAACAACTTATTTTCTAGAATAGTTTTAGGTGGACCTGTGGGGCTGTTACTTTGAAGATTTTTTTAATATCTCAATTATTTTGTATGTATTTGTCATCTGTATGAGTTTTTTTCCTTAGACTAGATATCTTAAAATGGACAAACTAATCCCAGACCTTCTGCCAGCGCTAACACCATCCGAGCTTGCCTGTGAAGTTTTTAGGTGGAGAGAAATGCCAAATACTTCAATTTCTGTGTGCTTTTGTTTTCAACGTCAAAGTCTTGGGCTTCTTTCCCTTTAAAATATGGCAATCCTTGGTCTTCATTAGACTCTTCATAATTCTGACTTCTTCATTATAGTTGCCACGTACATTACCATTATTCCTTGCATTGCAGATTTTCACGTTCTTGTTGTTGGTTGTATTGCGATGTCTCTAAGCAGGCTATCAACTTTCCGTCTTCAATCCTTGATAAACTGCTCTGTTGTTCTCTTCATGTTCTTCAATTTTTTCCTACCCTTTGTTCATCCACTTTCCTTCAGCATCAATGACTTTGGTCGAGATGCAAACAACATACTTTATGAAGGAGAGTCTCACTTAACAAAACAGTGTTATTCCCATTGCAACTAAGTTTTTCTCCATTAACGAGAGTCTCACTTATGTTTTGCGCTTTGTAATATTTTAATTTCCCTAAAAGTGGGCTTAAATTCAAACTCTATGCAGCCCAAAACCAACGGACCCAATTCAATTTTTGTTATGGCCCAATTGCAAATATAGGCCTGTTGGGTGAGGGCCAGTTTTGTTTTTAATTTTTTCACCGTCCGGCTTCAACGTTCGAGAAGCGTAATGAGGGAGGAAGAAAGGGTTCTGGTTCTGGCCCAATGAACGACGCCTCAGTCTCCGACTTCAGTGATGATACCGAGCTCCTCTTGGCACGTTCGCTTTCTGTTATAAACGCAGCATTTGATTAGGCAGAAAATCCCAAGAAAGTAAACTGGTAGCAAAGTTCGAAAAATCAGCCTAGGCGAGAGGAACTGCCGCAATTTAACCCTAATTGTTAAGGGGAGGTGGCAGGAAGTTAGGCTTCGCCTAGGTGGGTCGGGTCCTTTAAATATATATATATTTTTTCCAGAGCTCAGACCTTTAGGCATTGGTAACAAAAGCTTACGACTTTCACAGTTTGTATAAATTTCTCGTTGATATTTTTCAGTTTTAGACAGGCTACTGTTTTACCCCAAAAAAAAAAATGATGGTGTTTCTTCTCGTGATTTGCATTTGGAAACTGGAAATGATCAAGTTTTATTTAATTCGCTTTGCAGGTTAATAATCTATTAGGAAGATACTTGGCTAATCTCTTTGGTAAACCTTATTTTTGATATAGTAATTTAATGAAATGACGTTGAATTTGAAAATCAAGATGTGCTCAAATTTGTTTGTATATTCCACTGCTATTGCTGAAAATTATTCAAACATGTAGTTGAGTTGAGTAGGTGTTTGATTACACAGAAAGAAATAAACAAAAACACTTTGGCTACCTCCTTCATTCTAAAAACACATCTTCAGTGAAAACATTCATCCGTCAATGGAGTGTCAAATGGTTTGATGAAACCAACTACTTATTTCCTAAATTTGTAACATCCCGACCCTAAAATGAAAGAATTAAATTTAAAACATAATAAATAAGTTAAAATAAGTAAATTAAATAAACTAATATGAATTAATTAATAATAATTATTGAAATTTAATAATTAATATTATTTAAAGGGCAAAATGGTTAATTTAATTTCGGGAAAGAATTTGGCGAAACGAGTTGCGCCATTGCGTCCGGCTCGTCGAATGAGTCCGTAGACGGGACGGGAGGCACGCTCGATTTGGAAAATAACGAATAAAAAGGACATAATGGTAATTATGGAAATTTATTAAAAATTATTTATAACCCAAAATAACCCCAAAACCCCGAGGAGTGCGCGAGTGCACAGTGGCACTCGCCTTCTCTCTCTCCCAAACCCGATCTCCCCTATTCCACTGGACAAAAGATGAGAACTGTATGACATTGACATGGTTGAAGAATTCTCTACCAGTGATGAAGTTGAGCATTCTTGTCCATCCTGCCATCAAAATCCGTTGCATTCAGGTTTCCGAGTGCACTTCCCATTATGTCTTAACGAGTCCTTAACCCATAAGCTCAAACACACGATATCGTATTGACAAGGCAACAAGATAATGAAATATAAGAGAAATGGAAAAAATAAAACCTATGATTTTGTTCAATTGAGAAGATGCTAGATACCTTGTGAGAAACACAGTTTTTGAGAATTGCATACACAAACTGTGAAAACCAATCTGGGAGACTAGGCACTGTTCTCAAAACCCAAGAAAGAAACTTCCCCACAGGAAGTTCAACTTCCAAACCCGAGAGCTGGCAATCCCACACATTCAAGCCACTGCCAACTTCAGCGCATGAAACAATAGCCGACGAAACAATCTGATTAATATCCGGCGGAGGTAAATCTGTTTTCCCTTTGGAAATTTTCGAAGTCCTAGAATTCCAGGAAATAGCCCAACACATCCAAAGAAGCATAAGCACGTCCACGGGCTTAAGCGACCCGGTTATCTTACAGTCAACACCATCAGATTCAAAATCCAAGTTCGAAGCAAGGTCTAAAATATCGAGAGTTTCAGAAATATCGGTGGTCCAAAAACACGGATATATCAATGGAAATATCGAGAAATATCGATATCGATAAAAATTGAATACAAATCACGGAAATTGTGAGAAAAACTTGGAAATTTTTATTGAAACTTTAGAGGATGTTTATTTAGTCAATTGTCTATTATTTTATCACAAAAAATTGGAATAAAATGCATGGCATGGTGGGTTAGAGTGATTTAAGTTGATTATGCAGCGACTTAACAAACACCGTGTCTTTAGAAAATATGTAGTAATTAGTGAAAGAAAATTAAACGCACCATAATTTTTTAGTTATAATAATTTACTACAATATATTGCATATGATAAGATATATGAGCTTGACAAAAAAACAAAAATAAAATATATGAGTAACTTAGTACCACATTAAAATATATATATATATATATTTAAAATATCAAATTTTTTAGGCCCAAGCCCAACTATTTAAAATATTTAAAATATATATAGATAATTTAAATATTTAAGACTGTGGTTCGAAGGCGAACCCACTTTTTAAAGTGCCACAGCAAACACTCTGAGCAATATATTTGTTAAACATTAATGCATATTTGAGAAAGATTTCTACAAGACAGCAGAATTTTCTAAAATAATATAGAATGAAAAGTCGGTGGTTGTATTCTCTAAACACTAGTTAATGAAGCTAGTAGAAAGCTCTAGTAGAAAACTACAATATATGGCTGAAATTACTTAGACAAAGTCGGTTACTGTGCAAACCGACTTAACTAAGCAAAAAGCCAACTTAGATAGTCGGTTTAGCTACTCCATATATAGCTATAGCAGCCCAATTATGTATTCAAGTTAAGAAAGCTAAAAAGCCACCAGCTGTCTGAACTCGCATCAGTCACCTCTTGTATCCAATCAACTCTAAAGCCCTTGTACCCTTCTTATTTCAATCAATAAAATAAGATTATCTTGTTACTCTTTCAAAAGCTTTCTATTCATCATCAAGCTATTATCCTAAGCCTCTCTTCTCCCTAGAACTAACAATATTAAGCGACACGGACGCAGACATTCTTGCACAACACTTCTTGTAGCCCCAAACGAACTCAACCCAGCTCACTTTGCCCTTCTCCGAGACGAAAAACGGGTCCAGAATTGACGAACCAAGATGATCCAACAGCATCGGAAATGAATCAGGCACTGTAAGAGCTTCACATACTGGGTTCTTGTACGTTAAACAGAAGCATTGCTGAAAAATTGAAACGCAAAAGCTTCAATTTCTGGTTTATAGATGCATAGAATGAAAATTGAATTCGAGGAGTTGAGTTGGCATTTTGAATCTACCTGAAGAGAGTTGAGGGGAATTGCATTAGAATCAGGATCGGCGAGGTTGGAGAAAGATTTCTGAAGCATAGAAAGAGCTCCAGTGGATGCTGCTAGGGTTTCCGCCTCTCGTTGCTTGATCGAAACCTTCTGCTCCGTCGAAGTTGATGCTCCCATTTTCGCTGGATTTTCTCCGCAACCGGATATTCTTTTCTTTTCTCAACTCAATATAATATATTTATATTGCGCCAACTTACCGACTTATCTGTCTGCGTTTCTTTAGTTAGAAGTTAGAAAGAACGATCTCACAATACGGTGTCGTTTTATTCCGGTGAGGAAACGGCCACGTGGCAGGAGTGATGCTTAAATCACGCCACGTTTCGGGTGACGGTTATTGACTGGATCTTAAGCGCATTTCCAAATCCAGCAACCCGACCTTTTTTCAGTTCGGGTCCAAGATACAGACTAGAGATACAATTGTGAAGAGCAGAGACTGAACCACCGCTCAGGCTCAGGGGTTGAAATCCGATTAGGGTTTTACCGCATGCACTTGACGAGTCAAGCTGAGATTGTCATCACCAAATCCAATGGCACCTCCTCCAAGTCCTTACTCTGGCACCAGCACCGTCCGTCGCCTTGGTACACTCCTTTCCTTTCCCTCTGATCTCTTCTGCCGAGGAATGTGATCGTAAATTTTATTTCTTTAACTTTTGAATGTTTGATAGGTTGCTCGTGCATCGGCCTTCACTTTCGGTCTGGTTTATGGAAGCGTGAAGCTCAGGGTTCTCAAGGTGCTTCCTGATCTCCTTCGGTCTGGTTTATGGAAAGTAGATACGTTGAACTTTTCCTCTCCTTCATTTGCTTTGCCTTGAGAAAAATTAAGAATGAGAGAGCACTTTCACTCTTGCTTTGCCTTCAACTTTTCTTGCATTGTATAGACGTTCATTTACTTTCTTCTTTTGATTATTAGATGAAGGCCAAGCCACATAAGAAAGCTGAGGCCAAGGCTAAACATTGACGGGCTGAAATGGTTGCAGCAGGGCAACATCATTATAATTTCTTGCCAGAAGAACGTTTATTTTATGTTTTAGTTAGTACTATTACATTGACCAACTCCTTCCTACCCTTTAGAAGCTTCAACCATAGGCTGAGTGAGTGCCAGCCTATTCGGATTGTTCAGTACTTCTCATCTAAGTCTTCTTAGCCCTTTCTGCTCCAAGGTTACGGAAAATTTGGAATTCATAATTTTGGTGGTAGACCATTTTCCTTCGGAAATTTTTTGTTACACTACATTATGCAACTCTAGGACAGCAACAAGGACACGTTAATTATAAGCAGTCGAGATTGTATGTACGATTTTGTTAGCCAATATTATTATTGTTCTTATTCTTATTTTGAAAAGTAATCGTTAGCCAATATTATTAGTGTTGAATAAAAATAAAAAAGAAGAAAAAACTTAAGCAGGATCCTAAGACCCGCGAGTCACATAGGAAAAAGATTCTAAGCCCAATATCATATTTTGTTTGTCGCACTGGATCCAATATTAATAAGGTGGATCTTAGAAGATTCTATGTCCAATATCATTTTTGTAACCCATGAAAAGGGCCAGTTTGTTGAGTTTCACTTTTGGGATAGAAACATAATTACTTGAAGCAATGGAGAAGGAAATTGATATTTTATATGTGTTTTAATTGTTTTTGAACCAATTGGGTACTCCAAAAAGTGTTCTATGATCCAGACTTTTAAATTTTTTTAATCAAACACTGTCATAAGCAATGGCAAAACCAGGAATTTATATAGGGCCGGGCTAAAAATTTTTTCCTTGGCTTCTTCTATAAAAGAATATATCATGCTTCAAATTGTCAAGAATTATTTTTTTGTGGGTAGGGGGGCTAAGCCGAAACAGCATAACTAAACAAGAACGAGGCCTATAGTCTAGTTAAATTTAGAAACCAAACAAGTTCATTCTTTTCCCAAACTTCTTTTCCGAAACACTAACACAAATAAGTACAACCAAACTGAAAAAACACACACATAAATCAGCAGAAAGAACACAGAGAGGAACTCAAGAAGAAAAGACCAGGAGAGAGAGAGAGAGAGAGAGAGAGAGAGAGAGCTAGAAAAAGAACACAAAGAAGAAGTGATTGACCAAAAAAACAGAGAATTGACAAGTTTATAAACTTGGTATGCATACAATAAAGATAAGGGTCGAAAAATTAAATATTGTGTGCATTTAACTGGTTCATATGATGTTGTTTTTTTCAGGCATTCATTCAAAACTTTGCACGGTTTCTCACTTCCTTTTACAAAAGGCACTCCAGACAATCCAGAAAATACAAAAGGCACTCACGTGGCCTCCAAACCAAAAAGTAATTAAAAAAACAACCTATATTATATATATATATATATATATATATATATATATATATCCATGGCACCATATTTTTGACACAAGTTTTAACACAATTTTTGGGCCATTAGATTACTCCACTTTTAATGGATGAGATTAAATATGACATAACTTTTTGACATGAAAAATAAATTAAAATGTTTTTCTCTCTCCTCTCTCTATTTTCTCAGAAAGGTAAATTTCTATCAAAAAAATATTTTTTTTTCTCTCTCCACTCTCACTTCCCTAACCGTTCTCTGCTAATTATCATCACTAGACGAGGCAGCCATCGCCATGGTGAACGCTCCCAAGCACACCTTATGCAAGGTCACCAATACAAGAAAGTAAATGATAGCCTTACTGCCCAGCACCCAATCAAGAGGTGGTGGAGAAAGGAAGGGGAAGGGGACCTCTCTTTTCTAAGTTCACTGGTTAGGTTTGTATTTTGTGTTGCTTTCTATCTTGTTGGAGCTTTAAAGCAAATATGGTAGACAAGTCCTTATTCTTAGTTGTTCTGTTAAACAACGAATTGTTCTGGACAATCTTTCTCAAATAAATTGAGATTAGAGTTTTAATTATAAAATAAAATAAATATCTATCTTGATGCTTTGGTTCTCCTTGTTTGAAGACAAATGAAAATGGAATAACAATGGAGTAGAGAATTCATACGGTTGGTTTGCAGTTACTGGAGAGAGAGAGAGAGAGAGAGAGAGAGAGAGAGAGAGAGAGAGAGAGAGAGAGAGGGGTATGCGTGAGAAAGAAGAGAGATTAGAGTACCAAGTAAAAAAGAATACTATCAAGAAAAGAGATTACGTTTCCAATAAAAAAGGGAGGAGAGAGAAAATTATTTTATTTTATTTTTATGAGAGAGAAAATAAAATTAATAATTGTTTATTTCAAACATTAAAACTATTTGTCATGTCAAATTTAATCTGAACCATTAAAAGTGGAGTAATCTAATGACCCAAAAACTATGTCAAAACTTGTGTCAAAAATATGGTGCCATGGATCCGCCCTCATATATATATATATATATATATCGGTCAATACTTATATATCATATATAGAGAGCTAATTTTTTCACTTTTCTTTTGTCCACTTACACTCCTTTTGTTGAAAATTGTATGTTCTCACTCCTGACAAAAAAAAAAAAGTGGGATGAGCTACCTAGATTATAAAATTTGCAAAAAGGGCTAATATTCGTGGGAGTAGGAAATACCTTATAAATTTGCACCAAAACCAATGTTTTATCAAATCTTGCAAGGGGCTGAAGTCCAGTCTAGTCTCTACGTAGTTTTGTTCTTGGTTAGAAACACTTTTAGTTATCAAAATGAACTTTAGTCCTTTTAAAAGCACTCCTAAACATACCATTAATCTACTAAGTCATGAACTTCGTAGGTAGGTATAGCACGTAAGAAACCTATTTGAAAACGGGCAACATATTTTATCTGCATTGCATTGCATGCAGTGGCGGATCCAGGATTCAAAAGTCAGGTAGGCGAAACTTACCTTAAAAACTCGACGGTACGAGTGAATTTTATTGATAAAAATAAAAAGATACACCTAGTCAGGGGGGACGTAATGAGCCTTACCCTCAATATATGCATATACATAAATAAAAATAAATAAAAAAAAAAAAAAAAAAAAAAAAAAAAAAATAAGCAATGCAACACAAAAACTAAACTATTTTAATCTAAAATTGTACCCTACGAGGCTTAGAAATCTTAAATTCTTCAATTATCTCTTCATTATCGATACTATTAGCAAACTCTCTTTCAATGTGGAGAATCATGCAATCAACAAGGAATTCATCAGCTATGGTGCTTCGAAGTCTATTCTTAATAAAATCAACAAAAAATCCCAACAAAAAATTAAACAATTTCTCATAATAGCATCAATGAATTTAGTCAAATATTAACATACCAACAACAAATCAAACATCTCAACAATGCCAACATCAAATCAAACATCTCAACAAAATTCTTAAAATCAAAGACCTAATTAATTTCAACAAAATCCCCAAATTATATTTCATTCCTAATTAAACCCTAGAAAACTTAATTTCAAATTAAAATTAAAACTAAGATGCATACATTTATTTTAGGAATAACCCAATAGAAGAAGATAATTAAAGAGAAGAGATTAAGAATAATACTTGTTTCCTTGTATATGAGAAGAGAAGAGAAAAGGCTGTCCAGTGTCCACGATTGCACAGCACAGCCAAGACTTGCGTTGAGAAGAAGCTCTCCCGACTCTGTCTGGAATTGCACTGCACAGCCACTATTTGGCTGCTTAAGTTATATTCTTTCTTTTATTAAAGTCTGACTGGGCCATTCATAACATGGGCTGGCTGGTTATAATTTTTTTCCAGTTTTTTAAAGTTTGAGTGGGCTTGTGCTGTGGGTTTTATAAGGATTGGGTAGGCAAGAGTGTATACCAATACATGGAATGGATATCAATTACATAGCTTATATATAGGTTTTTTTTTAGTGAAATATTTTTGGGTAGGCGGTAGCCTACCCTGTCCTGGCTTAAGATCCGCCCCTGATTGCATGCATATCATTTTCATTGGTCTTGTACCACATACATAATATTCTTATTGACTTTCTTTTCTTGCTATTGCAAAAGTATCTTTTAATTTCTTACTGTACATATTGAGGGTTCTTTTGACTAATTGTTCAACTCGGATCTTTGTCTTCTTAAATTGTCATTTTATAATGATCCTTGACCTTTTCTGTTTTCTGGTTACTGATTATTTATTTGGTTTTTCTGTGGAAATTCATTTTGG